ATGCCTTTTTTTCGCAGAGTGTAACAATTTTTCTCTTTAATAAATATAAATAAGATTATAATCATAATTAGGAATAATTATCATAGACATTCCTTAATTCTTTTGTTTCAGTAATTTCTATATTCAAATTTCATGACTTTTTATGAAAAGGAATCGGTTTAATTGACAAATTGCTTTAACTGTACGATAGAATCATGGCTGTTACGAATTCAAATAGCAAATCGGAGCTGTGTCAGATGGAGGATGATGTTGCTGTTAAGGCAAACACAAGAAAACAGTTGATTCAGACTGTGGTGTGTGCTGTATCGGTTCTTGTATGCATCGGCCTTGCAGTTGCGTTGAGTAAGTACGTAGACGAGCAGAATTATGTCGCCTGAAATACCGGTAACATTATAAGATAATATATCTGAAATTCAAGTTATAAGACTATTTTTCCACGCTTTATCTGGGGTGCATAGATTACAAAATAAACTTGGGAAATACTGAAGACTTCTGACACTTTGAGATCAGTATAAGTGGCCTCTCTTGGATCTTAGTAATAATATTTGCCCTGTTTCCGAGTGTATATTTTACTATGCTGGAACGCAGAACTTGGCGTACACATCATGACGCATGTACACATTTTTAATTTATGTTTACGTATGTTTATGTTTTCCAGCATATAATAATATATATTAATAGTTCCACTCGAATAAGACATATTACTCTCATATAACGTTTGTTCACTGTATCTTAGTTGTAGTTATCATAAGTGATACAACTGACATGGAAGAGTACTGCAATACGGGACATTGCGCCATGATGGGTAAGCACTAGTCACATTTATATTGCTTGATGAAGCTATTCAAATATTCCATGACAACATGTTATTACGTTTCTATTTCGTTTCGCGAATTACATAATGAAGTATGTCGGCATTGGTAGTTGCTCTTTAGTTTATATGTCCTTTGTAATTAACTATGTCCGAGTCGTTACTGCACATATATTTCAAGCGTACACTGCAGAAAATTGGTACATATTTCGAGACCGCATGTCAACAAATAATAACACTTATAATAATTCAAAAATACCGAATTGTTTGTGTCATTTTTGAGGGCAGTATTACAGTAGTATTAAATTCGAATTAGGCTACACCCTAATTGAACTTGATGCAATTACTGTATTATTACTTTTATTAGAAACATGAACAGACCCCAGTTGACAAGCTGCGCAGTTACTGTACTATTCTTTTGTTATGGGACAAAATAGACCTTAGTTAATCATGCATGCATTTTGTGCAGTACAGAACATGAATAGTTACTTTATTTCTTTCATTTGTGGCAATATTGTCGTAATATGTTTCTATTGGTGTGAATAGTTGACTAGGTAAGCAGGTAATGTAATACTCATTTTCTTAGACTATTGAACAAGGGCAGACCATAGTGACAAGGTATTTAACTACTCTAGTAATATGTTCTTTTAGGTCTACAGGCACTGTAATACCTCTTATCTATATTACAAGGACATACTCTAGTTCATCAGATATGTAGTTGCCCTCTCCACCGTAAGATACTGGATGACGTAATACCATTTGTTTTAGATGGTGACTTAGTCATAAAATCTTATTTCTTGGATAACGTATACTGTCATAACAAATTGCTCTAAGCGACTTATTCTTTCGCAGCCGGGGACATGATTGAACGTATGGACCTGGACGTTAACCCATGTGAAGATTTTTATCAATATGCGTGCGGTAGATGGGAGAATGCAAGGGTGATACCCGATGACAGATCATCATTCACCACTTTCTCGGAACTTCGCGATAATCTGGATATCAAACTGAAAGGTAACAAATTTGTATTGGTATAACCTATAACCACACCTAGCACACTCTCTCTTTTATTTATATATTTGGCAAATGCAATATTAAATAGTGTTTTTATTGTTGTAAATTTATCTTCTGTCAATATTGTGAAATCTTTTATTTTTTTCTCTGATTTCTGTAAAAAAACATGTTGTCATATATCTTTCATTTCAAAGATAGCAATTTTTTTTTCTGGCATTTTCGGTTTAGTATGCCTCTGTGTTTCGATATTGAGGGCGTGGTTACTTAAATGGTACTTACAAATTATCAATAGTATGCATTGCTAAATAGTTTTTTTCATTTCAAATATTTCTTGAATTCTCGTCCATGTTTTAAAGACTCATCGCTTCCATGAATTTGTCGTTTTTGTTTAGCAGTTACAATGTTTTTACAATATTTCATCATTACCAGTTGATGTTATTAATGCTGTGTGAGTTGAATCGATGTGGACGGGTTTACGCATTCTGTACGTAATACTTCGGTCATTAGCCGGCTTTCAGAAAGTTTCTGGTAGCCGAAGGAAATACTGTAGCTCGTCGATTCCGGTGTCGTGCACGTCATACATGCAGTAAATGCTTACTTTTATTTTATCTGCCGAATATTCTGTGTTATCTACTTACTTTACTTCATATGTTACTATAAATGTAATGGCACAAATATCACTATCTGCATATTGAGTTGGTAATCTTATACTAACTTGTGTTAAATACAAGTTTGAGAATTAATATATTAACTCATATTGATATTTTTTTAATAATAATATATGTTTAATTTGCCACAGCTTTGGTGGATCAACCCGTCATAAGTAGTGACATAAAACCTACCGTTAATGTAAAAAACAACTACATTGCCTGTATAGATTTAGGTAAGTAATAAAGATATAGTTAAGGTAGGGATGCAGGTTCGTGGGCACTTGGGAGTGAATTTTTTTTTTTGCTTTTTATTATTCAAACAGTCTTGGTTATAGATTGTTAAACTTTTTTAGAATTGTGAATAGTGGAACATACTCAAAAAACGATTTTAAAATATAGATAACAGGTGCAAACATTCTCTCCTTTGAATGCTTAAAAGATTTAGCAAGGCTGTACATAAAAAATAAAAAAGAAACATGGTAAAAACAAGAAATGACTGGATCTCCATAATATGCACTATATTTAACTTTTAACAAAACGACAATACATTTAAATTTGGAACTGCTACAGCCATTTTAATTATGAGCATTAGCGAACTTCTTACTGAGTGAGTTGTTATGCAAATTAGCAATCCCAGAACATTAAAAAAATAGCTCCTAGACGCTTTAAACTTTTGTTTTGAATTTTTCACAAATGATTGACATTGTGTCTATCTTCAAAACGCCGTCGGGGCATTGTTTTTGGTTGAACAGTGTTACAACACAGACAACTCGCATGGGTGTTAATTTATGCATAAACTTGAAGTAGTGAAATTTGGGCTGTGCCCTGCAAAATTGACAACTGGTAGACAGTTTTCAAGACGGAGCTTTCTTCATAGTAAACAGATGTACCCATAAGCAAATTTTGACAGGAAACAGAAACATGGTTTAGGAGCTAATTTTTTTTAAATCACTTTTGACCAAAAAAACACATTTTTGTGCATATTTCAAACTACAGTGTCCATAAAAGATAAATAATAACAACATTTTAAAATTCATACAATAAGCTTTCCGAAAATATATAGTTTTGTGGACAATGGAGGTCATCTTGGTTTCCTAATCAACTAATTAAAATACCTGTCAGGTAAACTGCATCTCTAACTTAAACAAGTGAACTACGATTCACAGGCGTGAATTTACCCACTTTCATTTTCTTGGAACAGCCACGATAGAAACCAGAGCAAGTCAGCCACTGGTTAATTTAATGTCCCAACTTGGCGGTTGGCCTGTACTTAGTAACAATCCGGGTGGAAACTGGAGCGAAGCAGATTTTAATCTTGAAGATCAGTTGTCTACATTGCGTGGTAGTTACAGCAACTCTATGATATACTACACATACGTCAGTACCGATAATAAAGACTCTTCAAAGTACATCCTCAAGGTAACTCAGTGCCACTCCAGGTACTTGTATTGACGAAGTATCTGTATAAACTAAATTGTCTCTTTATTGACAGTATTGTTATAGACACTAGCGTTGTGTTCGGGGATCAGGAAACTTCGTCTCGCTTGGCTGATGTCACTTACACGTAGATGTACCAGATTCGTCCCAAATGAATACACATAAGTTCATTACAGATAGTCCAGCTTTATTCACAGAAGTAGTCACCGAGGTAACCCCTCGCTGCACCGTTCTTCTCCCTCTAATAAAAGTCAAAACACTGAAGCGTGGCAGAGTAAACATGCGATCAGCCAATCGCTGCAGTCGTTGGCACGTTCACGTGATTACCAGGGATGTGTCTCACGGTTAAAGCCTTGCAAAGCTGCTACTACTAAATACAATAATTAATAAACAATCTATTTACAAAATTCCTGTAATATATGTTTATAATCTCCACCCTAAACATGCAAGTTGTTGGTTCTGAACAGCAGAGCAACAGCGTGTGAACCGAATGTGCGAACGTGAAGTTGCTATCATAACAGTATTGACAATATTAGTTACTTATTTTCACATCAATTATTTGTGTGTTTTAACTAATCAGTTAGATCAACCAAGTCTTGGATTGCCAAGCAGGGATTATTATCTAGATAAAGAAAAACAAAAGGTGAGTTATTATTATTATTATTATTATTATTATTATTATTATTATTATTATTATTATTATTATTATTATTATTATTATTATTATTACGATCCTATGTACACCCACATACAATTTGATTATATTCTTTTCTTTCCAAACACTTAATTATTTGCCATGTACTATAATACGTGGATAATCAGTGGTTATCTTATTTTATCATTGCTAGTTTATAAATGCTTACCATGATTACATGACAACCATCGCTGTGATGCTTGGAGCAGAACAAGCTTCAGCAAAGCAACAAATGAATGATGTCATTGGTTTTGAAACTCGGATAGCAAACGTGAGTACTAATCAATTGATGCTAATTACAGTAGTTAACAGAATTATGTTTATTAATTAATTGGTGCTAATTACAGTAGTTAACAGAATCATGTTTATTAATTAATTGGTGCTAATTACAGTAGTTAACAGAATTATGTTTATTAATTAATTGGTGCTAATTACAGTAGTTAACATAATTATGTTTATTAATTAATTGGTGCTAGTTACAGTAGTTAACAGAATTAGGTTTATTAATTAATTGGTGTTAATTACATTAGTTAACA